GATGTAACCACTCACTGTATAGTATGTGTCCAGCGTTGATTAGTGAAGTGTCCAAACCAGGCACTGCGCAGGTTATACCGTCAATCTTTGGTTGTTATGTAAATGGATAATATTTTCAACTGCATGCAGTTTAGTATGCACATTACACATTACAAAAATGACGTTTTGTGTGCAATGCAATAAAGAATCTAAATTAAAAAGGCGTGTTATGTTTGCAAAAAACAGGTATACTTTTTTCATTAAATTTTGTTAAAAAAAAAAAAATAATAATAATAAACAACAAAATTTCACATTCATTTTGTATAATAAAATATTTGTACTACAATATTGTATTGTGTTGTTGTGTTACATCACATAGTCTCCGACCAAAATATGACATTAAAACTCGTTGGACAAATTAAAGACTTTGTTTATTTGGGTTAAAACGTTATTACACAAGTTACATAAATAGTAATGCATATTACATACTGAATGTAGAGATACCATACGTCGGATCGTTACGACGCGGTAATGTTGTTTGACACAGTACTATTGTCCTTAAAAATAATATAAGCACTTTGTATACTACACCAACGTCGTCAAATTAATAACTGTCCAAAGAACGACGGTGTGAGGATCGTTTAAAAAAGACCGGGCAGTGCCAAGTTTCCAGCGCTGTCGTGTCAAACGCGTTTAACTTGTTTGGTGTACACCGTTGAATTTGGCACGACAATGTGAGTTCGTGTAAAGCTCAAACGAACCGTTTAATTTACTAGGACGACGTCCAAAATCAGCCGTTTGAGGGCCAAGGACGCTATCTCGCCCTTGTCGAGAAAAACAACAAATATGGGGTCTATACTTAAGCCTAGTACCCATAACCAGCAGCTGGTGGTATCAGTGGCAAAACTTGGTGGTCCTGAAGGTAACTCATAGAATAAACACATATACATTAGTTTTTTTCCGATAAAAATCAATTTTGAGTTCCCTCCCTATTTGTTAGACCACGACGTCTTTAAATTACTTATCGAATAGAGTTTAAGACTTAGGTCAAATATAATATGATAGGGAGTTTTTGTAATGAGAAAATTATCTAATGTTATTAACTTTGTTTTTAAATTGTGAAAATTCAAAATAGAAAAAACAACTTCAAACAATTATTACTTCAAAATATTTTGTTAGCAAATTGGTATGGTCTATTTATACACGAAATTCTATCAATTTCACTAACATATAGTTCCAGATAATAATTTTGTATAAATTCTAAGTAATTAAATGTATTATTTTTTTAAACAAATGAAACCAATGTTAAAAAATATAAATCACAAACAAAAGACACCAAAGTATAACACACTTTTGGAACAAGAACTAAACAATGCTTCCATTTTATAGGATTTTTCTAGTTTTTTAAACTAGCCTTAGAACTGATAGGTGTTTACAACCTAAATGAAAAAGAAAATACATCAATTCTTATTACAACTATAAGTCATATGGCGTACGACTCATAAGTTGTCTACATAATTTATAAGTAGAAGAAATACATACTATATATTAAATCACTAATAATATAAAATATCATTAATATTTAGCACTATAACATAATTTTTGTACATGCTAATATCTATCACAGTTGAAATAAAATGACGAATTTATTAGATAAAATCAATTTTAGAGTTTTGTTTAGCTTTTATGTACTTAAAAATAACACTAAACTATGTTTTCTCAATTTATAAGTGTTTTTAAAAATCTAAGACTGGTTTTTATTATTTTAGTTCTATTTCAAAAAAACCAAAAAAGGTTCAAATTAGTTGTTGTAAAACCTAAATAGCTACAAGTTCCATAAAGAAATAACAATTGTGAGTGAAACAATTTTCTTAAAACAATTTCTCCTTGTGTAATAGAACACTGAACAAAGCGCGGTTGCACACTTTTCGATGAGAACCGAAAAAGTGACTTCATCGGTTTACTTTTCGGTTTTTTTTTATTTTACATATAATTTCACATGTGTCGCGCACACACAAACGACGGTTTCGTCCATGTCAGTACACGTCGAGAAAAATATTTTCTGAGCGTTGTGTTTTGTTTTAAATGCATAGCTAATTAATTTTTTTTTTCTGCGCGACAAAACCACTCACATTGATCGATGGGCGGCGAACTTGGGAAATTTCACGATTTCGCGTCCGGTGCGAAAGCGACTCGAGTACAAATCACTTGTATGCCCTTATCCTGCAAGTGTATACATATTATTATGTATGTGTGTGTGTGTGTCGAGAGTGCCTAAGTATACGTTAGTTACGGTCCATGTGTGTGTGTGTGTGTAGTCTTTGATCTGTCAAAAACAATAAGGAGCCGGTGCCAATTATAATATAGATATAGAGGGAGTCGATATCCCTGTTGCATTAGCCTGTCATTATAGTATACACCGAGAGCCGCGAAGCGAATGGAAAACATATAATATTTTTTATTATATTGTAAAGCGGCTCTCGCTTTTTCGGATCCGCCGTAATATATGTACTTACAACGATTCCACTTTCGATCTGTGGATGATATCAGCTATAAAATACGATACAAAATAACGGCCTATACGATATAGCATAAAATTGCGTTTCTCACGTTTTAATTGCTTAATAATATACATTATCGTTATGTGCGACGGCATAGTGCACAAGACGTGCGAGGTGTGATAAAATTAGCATTTTTCTTCTTTTTTTTTTTTTTGAGAAATTAAATAACTACTTATAGCAGTACGGACTTCTACTGTAAATAATAGACGTTTATTTTTTGAAACAAACATTAACCGCTTTTACCGCTAGAGGTCCATGCAGAGTTTTTTAGCTTTCAAACGCTTTTCCTATGTGAGACTATAAAAAATGCACTTATCTGCGCTATGAAATTGATGTAGGATTCAAGTTTAATTTACATTAAAAAAAAACTTATAGTAGGTAGCAATGCGTAGGTCTATATAGGTATATATATCGAGAAAACGATTAGAATATTTAACTTACAATAATTTTTGTAAGAAAATGTGTTATTAAAATCAAATCAAATTTGGTAGTCAATGTCTCGTATGTCTTCTATAATTGACGCTAATTATTGCTACTAAAAAATAAATGTTTTGCCAACACAATTGCGAAGATAACTTTAGTGAATAAGCGTTATTGCCGTATTTATAAATCATACGTGTAATGGTACAAATTCAAACCGTATCATTTTTTTTAAGTAAATTCGTTAAGTCGGCAGAAGAAAGTACACCAGGCTTGTTTATAATAAACGTAAACAAGTCACTTGTCTCTTGTCACTTGTAAAATTTACCACCGCGGTGAAAGCGAAAACAAAATAATCAATTTAAACAATCAAAATTTCATATTATATATATATTTTGGTTTCACTCTCAGTTCAAATTCAAAAGATGATTTATTAAAAAAAAAAAAATTGCAGACAGCCAAAAAAGGTGTACCTACCCGTTGTCACCGAGTATGGTTTCTGTGGTCTAGATAACTCAGTTTTCTATTTTATTACATATAATCAAGATAATTGATTCAGTGTAACTTTTAATTGTACACCATGGTCGTGATATAACGAAGAAAAAACGTTCTAATGAGTCGAAATAGAATACCTGTTTTCGATAATTATTATTATTTACTTATAATAGATTATCATATTATTGACCGTCAAGTTTTAATTGATCGGATTTTATCCTTTCTCGTTTCGTTTTCTAAACATAAATAATATAACATTAATTCAGTTGGTTATTTCTTTGATATCTACTTAATTATTTAAAAATTTTCTTTTTTTAAAAATTAATCAATATTTACCATTTGAGTTTTAATAGGTAAGCGATTGAAGAAAAAAAAATATTTGAAAACAAAAGCGATTTAATATGTGAGTTAAACATGTTTATTTAATATTAACGTGAGACATTACAGCCATAGACCTCGTTTGGATGCAGGAGATCAGGTGTTGAAGGCCTCTACACTAGAATTTATTTAGGCGCATTGTATAGGCAATTTTCACTAAAATAATTTCTAAATATATATTAGACTAACACCGGAAAGAGAGATCTATCAAACAAGTGTTTAAAAATCTATATCTCTTTTTAGATCCGCTTTTACCCTAAGGGCTCATTGGGCACGAGCCCAAGGCCTCTGGCGAATAATAGAAAAATTATTGTCATCTTTTTGGTTTTATTTAAGGACCCCTACATAGCCTAAGACGGACCTGTCTGTTTTGAGTACCTACAGTTTTAAAACTAGAAAAAGTTGTTTTCGCGGCGCCCATATTCTCAAGGCTTCACCACTATAATGTCATACCTATACATTGTTATTTATTTAGTTGTGTATAGACATAACGTCATAATATTATAATATAATATATAAAATTATATAATACTAAATGGACGCCACGAAAATGTCCGAAGCACAGAATGCATTAATCAGAATAAACACTGATAACAAAATAAAATCAGCCCGCCGTCAGTGCGGAGTGAAAATCAGTGTATTTTCATATACGTACATAATATTGTTTGTATACATAAATAAACGACGATGGTACAATTCTGTGGCTTGGAGCAAGAAGGGTCGTCAATGTCAATTTTGTGCATAAGCGAGTTAGTCCGCTAATTGCAAAAATTGAATCATTCTTTATATGCTGTGAAAAAATCACACTCTGAGGTCAAAAAAAATGAATTACTCGTGAAGAGTTTGATACAAAAATTAACATAGAGCCTAATGGAAAATAAAAACTTCAAAGCTCATTTTCCGAAAGTTGCAAAAAGTGACATTCTTGCTCCAAGCCACAGAATTATGCGCGGCTCTATGTCCATCGTGTGTTGCACGGTAATTATGGCGCGAGCACGGTATATATCGTGTCGGGCCAGCATGGAAAAAAACCGTTGCGGGCGCCAGCTGCTGTTGCCGCCGCCGCCGCCGACGTTTGACCCCCCACTCCTGCCGGCGGGCGCGGGCCACCGGCAGACGTTGGAGCGGCTGTTCGGCAACGGTCGGCGGCCATTTGCGGATGTGTAGTCGACGGTACCGGTTGTTGTTCTGTCCCGGCAGTTATGTAGCCGTGTGAAGAGTGACGCGAACGCGATACAGAGAGAGACGATTTTTTTTGATATTATTTACACGTTAATTTTTATCCGTGTGCGCGATTCTTTTTTTTTTTTTTTTATAACCGACACGTTTTGTTTGTTGTTTTTATCGGTTTGGTGAAATCAATTACACGTTTCACAGTCGCGTTTTCATTTCATTTTTTTTTTTCGTGCGCCCATAGCCGTAAAATTAATAAATAAAACCAGTGCGTTTTGGTTTCAATATAGTGTCGTCGTCCAAAATAAACCCACGGTCGCCTTTGTAGTAGTTTATAATATTATACCGCTGCGGTCATTCGTTGCCGGCAGACAGTTTTTGATTTTGATTTTTTTTTTTTTCATTTTCTTTTTAATACCATTTATCGCGCGCGTGTCGTCTGTTCGCCCGACCGTTACCGTGTGCCGCCGGCATGAAGGAGGTGGTGTCCGTTAACCCGACGACGCCGCCGCCGTCACAGCCGCAGCTGATAAGGGCAAAACAACCGGGATACCTGGACTTGACGGCCGAACAGGTGGACAGGCTGATCAGCAAGGAGCCCATCGATAAGGACTACGAGGTGGAAATCGAACCGTTCGCCAGGTAAGAGAACAGCAGGAGAAGACGAATTGTGTCGCAGGAAATAGCTAATATTGATACCCCCTCCCCCCTCACCCACACGCCAAAAAAATTATCATAACCGTAGTTCTGATGTGAAATTTTTTTTTCTGGTTTTTTTGCTTTTCTCATTTGCATAATTCCTCGGCAACGACGCCGGATGTTATTTATTTGCCCGAAGACGAATTAATGGCTGGCTATTTTTTTTTTTTTACCGTTTAAATATCGCGTGCTACAGTGGGTTTACATAAGTACGGCACGTAGGTACTTGCGATCCGGTCGTAAAATTGATGAGGTTTAGCCCATTCACATCGGGTCCTGTTCTCGCGACGATGATATGAGTCATAATAATAATAATAATACTACTACTACTACCGGCTGTTAGTTTTTTTTTTTACCGTGTGCAAACGGTCGGTGACTTGCCGGGGGAGTGGAGGCCAACTCGACGGTCAAAAAAAAAAAATAATTTATTGTTTTTTTTTTTTTTTATATTAAAAATATGTATTTATTACTTTATACCTAACCGGCGCAGGTAACCTCACGGCCCGCGTCTTGGGTTATTAAATAATAAAAAAAAAAAAAAATACTGTTTTTTATTTGTCATTTTGTTTTTCCGTCGCACGTTTCTCTCATTGTTGTCGGGTGTTATTATTCTGCGGTCTCCCGCCCCCCTCGGTAGTAATTGGTTTTCGTAAATCTTCTTCGGAATTTCTACAATAAAATATATAGGTAATACCCACAGCGCGCACTGTCGCCACGGCGATCGTTAAAGATCGGGGAATCACCGTCGTCTTTAATGAGATAAAAACAACTTTTTTAAAAATAAAAAAAAAGTCTAAAGAATTTGCACGACTGTCGACCTGCCGACGAAGGAAGGTTCGTTCGGTTGAGACACTGTTGACGGCGAATTAACGCACAAAATATAACCTCTTAACGCCCCAAAACGGAATTAAAATCTGTCATTATCCATTTGATGGCTATTAATAATAATAGGTAATGAATGAATCGATCGAATATTTTCTCCGACAAATCTATATAAAAAAAAAAAACGTATTACTATAGGTTTACAAAGCCATTTTCCTTTTCGAAAACAATTAGATATTATGTTATTACTTTGTGTGATATTAAATTGTTAAAAGAGTCTGGCCGTGCGAATAGCTGTATTGCTTATTATTTTTACAATTGGGCTTTGGAGTGGATTTCACTGGTTTTTATTTCAAGCGGCACTCGACGACAAATATTTATCATTAGCCGATTGTGTTATTTGTAAACACCTGAGTAGGTTAAACACAGAGACTCTACTCTCTTCGTATCTAATTATTATATTATTATTGTTATTATTATCCTAACGTCTTCTCACTATTACTGTTTACTTTTGTAGTAATACAATAATTACTCGGTTTCGTTTGTTTTCGCGCTGTCGCTTTTACCGGTTTTTACATTGTTTGGGTTTCTTAACGACTCGGATTATCATTAAGTATTATTATTATTATTATTCGATCCGGTCCGACAACAATGTAAAACGAATTTACTAAAATGGTCGCGCGCATCCCGTCCTCGTTCGTCCTTGGCAAGGTCGTGTCATCGCTGTTATGTAGTGTGTGTGTGTGTGTGTGTGCTCGTTTGTTGTGGGTATTCTCTGAAAGACGAGGACACCCCCCCGCGGTGGTCCGTCTTCCCGGCCCCTCGCCTAGGTACGCGAAGAACCCCACGGGCGGTAATTTCTGCGAACCCTTCGCCATCGTTGTTGCTGCTGCTGCTGCTGCTGCTGATGAGACGGAATGTCGACAGTGGTTTTTTTTATTATCATTTGTTTTTTTTTTTTTTGCAATCGTACCGAACCGATATAAGACTGTGCAAAAGAATGCGGTCCCCCCTGCACGACCGGTGAAAGCACACACACACACACGGAGACACAAAACTGGATGCAAGTACGTTTCACCGCAGACACGCGTTGCCCCGTTTGCATTTCGTCGACATTGATCGGTTAGTACTAATCTGTGCTGGTCTAGGAATAAAAAAAAAATTAAAGTTTTGGTATTATTTTTTTCTGACTTTTACCCCGGAAATAATTATTAACACTGGAAGTAGATGGTAGAAAATACAACATTTAAAAGAACGGCTGAAAAAAAAAACTAAATAAAATACCTGCCAAAATGTCTCGTATGTATATATTATCCAATAATGAGAAATAGTAATATCTAACTGCGTAAACATTTTTCATTAAATTAAAATGAACTTAACAAACGATATTATGCAAACTGCAACGCACGAGAAAAATATTTTCCTCGAAATAATTACTCGTTTAAATTAAATTGTTTTCTTTATCAAATTTTTGTTGTTGTTGTCGATGTGATAATTAAAACAAACCGGGTACCCAAAAATGTTTGCAACTGTCCAATACATTTTTTCACGGTACTGTCTGGCTTATGATGTACAATTATATTATTATAGTTGGAGAAACTCGGGGAATAATTAGGTTAGAGTGCATGATGGGATTGATGAGTTGGCAATCAACACTGTCTGGTTTAGACCGTCGCTGGTCCAGACATATGCACACGGGATAGCATGTTGTTCGTGTCGAGTTAAACGTTTTAAAACTAATTAAATGGTTACAGAGAGATTTCCTAGTGACTACTGTCTGTGTCTATAGATGTTTTCGTTTACTGTGTAAACTGTGATGTGTACAGTGTGCGGATTTGTCTTGCTATTATGCAACCGTGTGTGTGTGTCTGTGGAGGACATTCTTCACCTCGTGCAATGTTGGATGACACCCAAATAATTCCTCTGGAGCGTGTATAGTAGTTGGGCATAGTAGACCTGTAGACCTAACCTCGCGCGCATATACACCCGCGGAATTTGGTCTGACTTTCTAAAATTTTTGTTCTCCTCCTTTCCCCTTCTCTTCTCCTGTCACACTGTCAGAAATCGTTTCCCGCAAAACGACGGTCGTCGTTGCTCGTTTCGTTATCCGTATCGTGGGCAGGTTTTTTTTCCTAAACGATTAATTTAGATCTATAACATACCAGATTTCTGTGTATATATAAGAGGATAAATATTCGTATGCAAGGTAGCCCGTCGGCCCGGGTCGTATGTTTTTCGATACTATTAAAACATGATAATCCTATAATATAATCGTCTTGTAGGTGGTTACATAATTTGTCCAGAATCTATTAAAAATTAATTATTACCAACGTTGTTGTAGTGTATGTATTGGTCGCCGGCTTATTAGTTTGTGGCGTTCACTGTATACGCTGTACATGTTTCTTTTGTGTTTTTTTTTTCTAGCTGGTCGAGCCTCGTTATTTCTTAGTATCTCGTTTATGTTTATGGTTATGGTATTGTATTGGGTAAGTTGCACGCAACGAGAGGAGAAGGACTCTGATTGACCGTAAATAATTGTCATGATGATGTTTGGGCAAATAGAAGGGAGAAGTCTTTGAAGTTTTATGTTGTCTCTTTTGTTTGAACAAGTTAAATTATTCGTTAGCCGCGTTAACTTCACTTGTCACCGCGATAATACGTTGGTTATCCGCTTAGGACCGCTTATCTGGTTTGACGGTCGATTTCTTTTATCGAAAACTTTCTAAGCGCACTTTTAACTTGCTCATTAGACTTGTTGGACTCGTGTCATTCGGTAGTACCGTCAAAAGTGCAGATTATGTCACTGTGCAAACGTGCGCGTTCACATTCCGCACATAGTTCTTATCTATCCAGGGGTCAGACTTCGTAAGATACAGTAGTGTATAGGTCGGCAACTGATTAACAAGCAATTCTTCGGAGCGTTAGGCGTTCACCGGAAATCGAGATGCGCCCAACGGGTTATTATTTTTACACGACGGTCGTGTCGCCTCGGTAAAAGTCGGGCCCGGGGTGGCGGCGACGGGCACGTGCTCACATATTACACTATAATAATAATTATTAAAAATAAAAAAACCATAGTCACAATGAAGAAACGTCAACTTCCGGATCCGTTTACAAAAAAATGTAAACTTGTAGTTTTAGAGAAAAAAAAACTGAGATTTTGTGTCTCCCTCACGCTTGTCGACCTCATTTCAAGAAGCAACGCCGCTCCCCTTTTGTAAAACGCCGGCGTTTCCGGCAAACGGAAATTCAGCAGCACAATATTATAATATGTTCTCTGGAAATCTATTTCGCCATTTACCTGGTGCAGGAAAAAAACAATAATAATAACAAGTGCTGGCTAAACAATAGCGTTTCCTGTCTCGCTGGTCGGCTTATCGCCAGTGTCGTTCTCCGAACGTAATAAACCATCATAATATTTTAATAACTCAACATTATTATACTACACACAAATGTCCATTTCGCGTTTTTTCAATGGCCGGCCGCGATTAATATCATTTTTTTTTCTTTCTCCTCGGCTAGCGATAAATAAATTACAACGATGAAATATTGTGTCTTTCCCGCTTTTTCCTGGAACGTCATCGGCGCCCACTGCCGTACTTGAGCCGAGTGATTATTATATTTTGTCATCTTCCCGGTATACCGGTTATCACTTCTCTCTAGTCTTATCACCGTGTTTAGGTTTTCCCGTCCTTGTAAAAGGATATCCCACTTCGTCTCGAAACTTTGCCTTGCATTTCACATACCGGATATAATACCTAGCCGCCCCCCCCATGTCGTGCAATAGTTGGAGACAATTGACCGCAAGTGATTTTCGTCGTTAGGTGTCATGAATAATGATTATTATTATAATATAATAAAATAATATTTTATGAGAGGATTTGTGCAGCTGGTAAAACCCGTTTGGTAAAAAAAAAATTTAAGAAAGGGTTTTCGGTGCATACAAACTCTTATTTAAAAATAAAATATAAATATCGTTAGGGTTGAACTAAAAATAACCGCTCGGTTTATTTGCTTTTTTTTCTATACTAGGATAAAAAAACTATGTAGAAAAACTCCTCGATTACATACCTTATGTATTCATTTTCCTAGAAAAATTTCCATTCGATTTCTTATAACGT